TTTGCATATTTTCAAAAATTCGTTTGCAGCTCGGACCTTAACCGCAATCGTATATGTAAATGAACGAGTATTTTTTGACAAACAACCCCTCGAGCAATACTACCACTTTTCAGTGAATTGGAAATTTGCATTTTTTCAAAAAATTTACATTTGTCATTGTTTCACAAAGCGAGCATTTACCGAAAAAACGACCAGGCTTCGTGCAAAAAACGATAATCATGCACCTGGATGTCCGTGCGGCTCCATAATGCACCACCTTCATCTCAACTGATGCCCTTCCTCCTGCATGCCAGAAAGGATCAAAACACGGCCAATATTAGCCCAAGTGTTAGGCTACAGCGTAAGGATCTTCCTGCTAATAGCGATTTGTGAGTTTAGTGCAAAAACGCATGATCGCACTGGGGAGCCTGGTGCGTTCCAGCCTGGGTTGCAATTTGCATATAGGTAAAAACGCATAAAAATCGGAGTATGCAAATGAACTGATGTTCGTTTACGTATTTGGATGAGGGCGGTCGTTCGCTGCAAAACGCACTCGTATCTGATTCTTCGGTAAAGTTGAGTATTTCTCACGCCTATCTGGAGGGAATTCCACTTCCAAGCAGAATTAAGACCGCACTTAAAAGCAGAATATCCTAGCGAATTTTCAGCCTTGCAGCTTATCCAGCAAACGAAATATCCATTTCGTTACAAATATCTTTGAAGTGCCCTAAGTCGTAACGCAAGTGTAAATCGGCACTCATTTTACGTATGTTATTTTCTGTTTGGGAGACAAATATCTTGACAAGATTTCAGCCACTGTTTTCCGGCAAGTTTTCGAGCTAGCATAGTACTAAGTCGCAAACTTTGATGTATTCGTACGCGCTGCACAAGCGTGCGCGGCTACTGAATTTGAAATCTTTAGCTCACACATGCACAGAGAATATCCCTGCAAAGTTTCAGCCTTGTACCTTGCCTGGTTTGCGAAATCGTTTCCCGTCAAGGAAATATGCATATTTTTTGGAGGTCCTGTACGCGGGGTCTAGGCGCTATGGGAGATCTTAAAACGGGAGGGTGACACACGAGGTAGGAACATATGCCCGAAATTTCAGTCACCCAGCTTTCCTGGCTGCTGAGACGAAAGTGGATGACAAAATGCACTCGCTTCCGCATATACACACAGACAGCCTCGACAATATGTGTTTTTGCTGGCTGTTACAGCGCTATATAGCTGCACAGTAAAAACGCATAAAAATATAATCGAGCAAAAGATGGATCTGAATCGTGAAAAAGTACTCATAAGGGTATTACCTACGGATATGTTCAACCTCATCGTGGAACAGGCATCGTGTTTGAGCAACGTTATATGAGGAGTGTAACGGAAAGCAAATTTGATACTAACAGATCAATTGTACAAAACTGAACCATGTAAAATGTAAAAGTAAAATCACTAAAGTCGGCCGAGCTTCGGAAGAGTACTTAGATGTTCGAATTATTAAGCTGATGATTGCAATCCTTCTCCTTCTTTTCCCTTCTTCTTCTTTCCACCTTTTCTTCCAAATAACCCCGTCTTCTCCTTCCATTATTAGGCTAGGAGTTAGCCTTTTCCATCCATCGGACAACCACCGTAACAGACTAATTATTAATATCTTTTCAATCATTTTCAACCTACTCCCGCTCTACTTTTATTTCTTTTTAACCAATCCAACTGCAATTTTAAACAGTGTGGGAAGGATCCGGTGTCAGCGATGTTCCAGGAATGCATTTATAAGCTGGAGACAGCTGAACAAGCCCTTTGGCTACAGGTGTCGGTGCACGTCGGGAGGTTCATTTCTTTCCGAGGTGGCACCATTCTACCACCACAGTTGTCGACTTGTCAGTGCACACCGTGACGAAAGATGAGCAAATTTCCAAGGTCGGTGCTTTTTATTTTCATGTTTACCACTCTACTGATGTCGGGAATATTCAAGTCAGATGCATAAATGCATGATCTTTGTTGCGTTACCACTGCCGTTAGGCTAACAGTGATCCGCATCGTTAATGTTCATCCTTATAAAATACGGTACAGTGTTTACTCAGCATGCTTGGAGTATAAAGGTTTCTGTTCAGCTGTATCCCCAGATCTTTGGACATTCCTACATCAAACTTTGGACAGAGATTACGAATATACACAGTCAGAGCAGAAAAAATATGAAATTTGCGAAACATGAAAGTTTACGAACATAAATAAAACGCAAATATTTTTTCGGCAATTTTGATAAGTGAAAAGAATTCAGTTTTGAGCGAGCCTTCTTTTTGATATAAAAGTGGCCTCAAAAACATAATCCGGTGAAAAGTAAAATGCAAAAATTCAAGGACCCGTTTTCTAATAATGCCAATAATGCCAAGACTACCGGCATATTGATAGTAATGGCTATTTTTCTAAATATAATATAGAATTTCTGTTCTAAAATATTTTCCAAATTATTTTTAACCAATTTCTGATGGACTGAGATGAATCGTACAAGACTCATTCGACAGAGCTTCAGAAGCGCAAAAAACTGGCAATTAAGCTTGTGACTGGAACTGAATTTACATAGATGCATTCACAATCACAGCAGTAGTTATCAACAAAGACATTCAAACTCGACATCTTAAATTCATCTCAAAAACATCAAAGCTCTAACACTGACTGTTCCAGTACACGTTCCTGAATTTTACTGCTATCGCTTTTTGGAAAAGTTTGAATTATTCAGTGCTAATTTTTTTGATGCAGAAAAAGGTTTTTTCTCAAAACAGTTTACGGTCCGCGTCAATCAATTACCACAGCAAGAATGAAATTATTATTAATGTCGTGAAATTATTGTTAATGTCAAAGTGTAATGAAGGAGGAGAGTGGAGGATGGATGAACGAGCGACAAACGATTGTGTAGCTAAGGACATGTGGCAAAAGCTCGGTTGTCATGTTTTTTACTTTCCAAAGTTATGGTATACGTAAAGAGAACATAAGTTACTTCATGTATCACTATCGCCAAAGTTGGAAGAGGCCGAAGCCAGAAAATGAGAATAACCTTGCTTGACTGTAACACTCCGTGTATACATTCGGTGGCGATTTAGCGAACTGTTGCCGTGCTGCATGCACCAAATGTGCTGGGACTGCTGTTTGAAGCAGATCCGTCTAAATTTCAACAAACAATAGTTCTTTAATCTACTTTAAAGCAATATCCTGATTATAGAACAAAATCAAAGACTTCCCTCACTTCCTTATTTTTTCACGTCTTTTTCATAACACGCCCGGTGCACTGTCAATTCATTTATTCACTCAACTCGTCGCGGAAAATCATAAACAGATGTAGCAAGAATTCGAAGGGTGGAGTGGCCTTCTTAGTTGGAGTGACCCTAAACATATGTAGTTTTGTGGCTTTCTCCACTGTCTCTGATGCGTACTGGGCCGCAGTGTCAATATGAGAAATTGCTGTGAACTGTTCGACTCGAATGGTGGTTGTTGTTTGGCCAGAAATAACCATCCGAAGAGTGACAAGGATCAGTGATTGATTATTGTTGTCCCCCCCTCCGGGCTTTCTTCCTTACCACTACCAAATGTTTCGTATTAATTTAAGTGCTCAGTGGAAACTATCGTGTTGATCAACGCGCTGACAATTCATTCTGGCAGCTCTACCGCCATGTCAACAGATTTTACCTGCCATAATTTGTGCTTCTAGAAAAGACTCTCATATTTTGCCGCTACATTTTCAGCTGATACGGTGTATTTCTGAAAAAAGGAGGCATTCAGGGTAAATGATAAATTGAAGCTTTTTTGAAACAAAAATGTCAAAAAAGAGCACTATGAAAAATTCTTTGCTGGCTGAGTTGAATTTGTTATATCGTTACGGCCAAATCTTCGCTGTAGAAATATACAAAGAAAGCAGGATCAGTAACCTGTGCTCGCGAAAGACATTTTGCTTCTAACGATTCAGTTTAAAAAAAAAAA